GGATGTGGAGGGTATACATGGGAGAACCAAATGGGAAAACCAGGAAATATCCTGGACCTGGGAGCCCTACCCACTTTTAGCCAGGGCACTCCACATTACTCTGTTTTCTACATTGACTCCTAGGTAAGTTCCACTTGAAGAAAGTGTCCCAGCACAAATAGGGTTTGAAAACTTCAGCTCTAGTTTAAATCTTGGATGGAGCCATTCTGCTTGGCTTAGCTAATTACTGTCACTTGAATTGGGTAGAATCTTGTGGCCTTGGTGCCCTCATTGCACTGCTGGTGGGCGTGTGCAGGGGCCTCTGTAAGTCAAGGGCTCTTCCAGGCAGGCGCCGCCCTGTGCAAAGAAAACAGGCACGGGGTGTTTGAACCCTGCCTGGTGTGGGGAAGGCTGTTTTGAATCGAAGGGGCTTGTTGAGCATGGCAGACAAGGTGACTGACTGACGTGTCCAGGCAACACACCATGTTTAAAAGTATGGCTTTCAGCCCCAGTTCAGTATCTTTCAGAGTCTTTCTAGAGAATGCTATTCCATGAGAGGCTCAACTACGCAAAATTTCTGTTTTTCCACAAGACTTACAAATATTGCCTATCCTTCTTGGTGATCTCCATGCATATTAGTGTATTAAGTGTTGTGGAAATTTGTAAGCAGTAACTTGAGTTCAAATAAACGGAAATGCTTTTTTTTAAAAAAAACACATATACATAGGAATTCCCTGGTGATCCAGGTGGTTAGGACTCCACGCTTCCACTGCTGAGTCCCTGGTCGGGAAACTAAGACCCCACAAGCCACACAGCGCAGCCAAAACAAACCAACAGACCAACAGACCACATTTACATCCACACAACAGGGATTAAAACTTTGGAAATTGATTGCCCTAGAAGTGAAAGCATACAACTAGTTATTTTACAAAAGATGAATTCCATGATATTAGATGTTTACTAAGTTGTGGGGTGGGAACTCCCACTTTTTTAGTGAGAAGCCTCCCTACCTTTTAGAAAGGGGTGTCATTTCTCTTAGTGCCCCTGTATATTTATTTGTTCAACAAATATTTATTAAGTACCCACAGTGCTAGGCAAAACACTTGGTTATTTAGAGTATGAAAATTCTTACCTCTTTATTGGGATAGCTTTTCTGGAATATATAATTTTTAATGTTCATTTTTAGAATTCTGTGTCTCTATCAAAGAAAAACAGATGGTATCACAGTTATTGAACATTTTTAACCCCTGGTAACATGTCTAAAAAGATCAAGTTCTATGTTATCTCCCAGATTCAAAGTTCTTTCCCCTCCATCATATTTCTGCTCAGTTTTCTAAACATGGAAATATACCAGGTCCTTGTGGGGCTGCAGGGGTAGTGACTGGTGCTGCTCCTTACCGTGCAGGGTGGGAATCAGAGGGAATCAAGTATGCTTAAGAATTAGCACCAAGCTCAAGGTTGACAGGATAGTAACTGAAAGGTTCTATTCTGTAGTAATTAAAGTTAAACATTACCTAATACATTTTTTTTAAGTTGGAAAATTTACAGGAGCTGAAACTTGTCTCTTGGCTCATAACATATTCCTCCTCCACCAAATTATATGGTAGCTTATTCCACATTTCAATTTCTAAATAAATTGGTCTTCATTATTCTTAGATTCCTGACAGACATCCCGTCTAAAAATTAATGTTTTGCATTCTGCCACTTTGAGCATGTTAAACAAATTACTCAGTGTCTTTGTCACTGAATTAATTAGAGGGGTTCATGTGATGACTTTAGCACACCGATGTGAATGTGTTTTTTTTTTTTATTAGGGCTCATTTATTTTTTATTAATAATTACAACTCTACTTTGGTATCATCTGTGGCTGTAATATTACCAGCCTCGGGGAATTTTCATGGGGGTTAATGCCAATAAAGCAGTCAAGGGCTTCCCTGGTGGCGCAGTGGTTGAGAGTCTGCCTGCCGATGCAAGGGACACGGGTTCGTGCCCCGCTCCGGGAAGATCCCACATTGCGCGGAGCGGCTGGGCTCGTGAGCCATGGCCGCTGAGCCTGCACGTCTGGAGCCTGTGCTCCGCGGCGGGAGAGGCCACAGCAGTGAGAGGCCCGCGTACCGCCAATAAATAAATAAATAAATAAAGCAGTCAAAACTGTTCCTGGCACATAGCAAGGGCTCAAATGCTATCTTTATTCTTGTTAATGAGCTTTGTGACAGTGTGACGAGGTAAGCAGGGTAGCTGCCGTTATCCTCATTTTACCGATGGAGATGCTGATGCTCAGAAGTTTGGTCATCTGGAATTACTGGCAGTGTCAAGATGAGAGCCAAGCCCTGTGTTCCTGACTGCTCTTTTAGGGTTTAGTATTTCAACGTGTGAATTTGTGCAAACATTCAGGCTATAGCAGTTAAGTCAGCTCATGTGAAAATGCTTAGAACAATACTGAGCATACAGCAACAACTCCATTAAAATGGTTCTTTTCTTCCTATGCAGTTTATACCTGTAAGGACTCTCGTCTCTCTTCTCCTCTCCCTTCCCCCAGCTGGGCCCTTCATCCCCAGACCACTCAGGAGCCTCTTTGGCAATTGGTGCTTGTCTTAGCTCAGGCTCCCATAACCAAGTATCACTGACTGAGTGGCTTAAACAACAGAAATTTACTTTGTCACAGTTCTGGAGGCTACAAATCTGAGATCAAGGTGTTGGCAGGATTGGTTTTTCTGAGGCCTCTCTCCTTGCTTTGTAGACGGCGCTTTCCTCCTGTCTTCACATGATCTTCCCTCTGCATGTCTGTGTCCTAATCTCCAGTTCTTTTTTTTTAAGATGTTCATTGTTTTTATCTTTTTTAAAAGAGTTTATTTATTTTATTTTATTTTTGGCTGCGTTGGGTCTTCATTGCTGTACACAGGCTTTCTCTAGTTGTGGCGAGTGGCCTTCTCATTGTGGTGGCTTCTCTTGTTGCGGAGCACAGGCTCTAGGTGCACAGGCTTCAGTAGTTGTGGTGTGCGGGCTCAGTAGCTGTGGTGCACGGGCTTAGTTGCTCCGCGGCATGTGGGATCTTCCCGGACCAGGGCTCGAACCCGTGTCCCCTGTATTGGCAGGAGGATTCTCAACCACTGCGCCACCAGGGAAGCCCAATCTCCGCTTCTTATAAGGACACTACTCCTATTGGATGAGGGCCTACCCTAATGACCTCATTTTAATGTAATTACCTTTTAAAAGACCCTATCTCCAATACAGTCACATTCTGAAGTACCAGGGATTAGGGCCTCAACATATGAATTTCAGAGGAACCCACTTCAGCCTATAACAGTGGTCTAGAAAGGAAGAGCATCTAGGCCTCAGAGTTCCAGCCCAGTATGCTCCCAACTCATAATCACAACCCTTGGGCTATCAAAACCCATTAAATTCCATTCAGTGCACTCTGTTCAAAAAACGGGCAGGGGGCTTCCCTGGTGGCACAGTGGTTGAGAGTCCGCCTCCCTATGCAGGGGACGCGGGTTCGTGCCCCGATCCGGGAAGATCCCACATGCCGCGGAGCGGCTGGGCCCGTGAGCCATGGCCTCTGAGCCTGCGCATCCGGAGCCTGTGCTCCGCAACGGGAGAGGCCACAGCAGTGAGAGGCCTGTGTACTACAAACAAAACAAAAACAGGCAGGGATAGGACCTAGTTCCTTCCTTAGGAAATGGAAGAAAGGTGGATGGGACCTGTTATGTGTCAGGTACTGTACCGTGTTGCTGGTACTTAACAGACATTATGCCCCAAATCTCAACATCGCCAAGGACAGGGTAGGCATAGTTGCCTCCATTTTACAGAGGAAAAAAGAGGCATTAAGTCACTTGCCCAGGTCACATGGTTACTGTGTGATTTACTCAGTCAATCCCATTTCTCAACAACATTGAGATGACAAGGTAAGAAGCATAGGAGTCACGTGGGTTGAATAGGAAGAAAACTTACCTCCTGTTTCACCCAACTCAATCCTTCCCTTGAGAATTAAAAAGTAAACATAGGGCTGATAAAATAAAGGAAGACAAATGGAAGAAACTTTTTTTTTTTTAAGGCAGGTTTAAGACTCTTTTGGAAAAAAGTCACTGGGCTCTGAAGAGAACCAGGGAAGACTCTGTGTCACTTACTTTTCTCCAGGATAATCCGGCAGCCTGTAAATAAGTTGTATTTGTCCAACAGCTTTTATCCATCTCTCCTGGATTCTTCAGTTATCCCTACTTAGCGAGAGGCAACATGATGTGGCAGTTGGAAAGCCAGGCTCTAAAGTGATACCATCAGGGTTCAAATCTCACTTTCACTATTTGTTAGCTGTGGGACAAGTCACCTAATCTCTCTGAGGCCTCTGTTCTCTTTGCTGTTAAAAAAAAAAAAAAAAAAAATGGAGATAGTAATAATGACTTCTGATGAGGTTGTTTTGAGCATTAGGTGATTTAATCTATGTAAAGAGCCCCACAAAAGGATTAGCTGTTGCCTCTAGGAAAACAAGGCCAGCAAGGGCAAGGATCTTGCCCATTTTCCGATGTATGTCTCTAATGCTTGCAAGTGCCTGATGGGCAGGTGGTAGACACTCATTCATATTTGTTATGTGACTGAATGAATTCAAATATGGTGGATCCTGAGCAATCTGTGATAAAGAGGAAGTACCTCGTTTCAGCAAGTTTCCAGAGTCTTGTTTGTTAGTTGGTTGAAACCATAAGCCCACTGGTGGAGAGAGAGAGAGAAGGGAGTGAGCCAGAGTAGGGGTGAGAAAGCTTTTCTCAGTCTCCTGAGTGACAGGAGAGGCCTAGGTTGTCCGTGGTTGGGCTTCCCTCCCCTTTACCTGTATCATCTCTAGGTCTGTGGGTGGAATCACTTCCTGGGGCCTCTGGGCTCTGACAGTATGGAAATCACCCACTGACATAAAGGTGTTTGGATGGCACTCTGATGCATCTCAGGCTTCCATTTTGTACTGTTCTCTGGGATTGGCTTAATGATCATGTGTTATCAGAATTCCTCAACTGATTGCCAAATTTTCTTTCCAGGCTCAGGCTGCATGAAGAAAAGGTTATTAAAGATAGGCGACATCATCTCAAAACCTACCCAAACTGTTTTGTTGCGAAAGAACTGATTGACTGGTTGATTGAACACAAAGAGGCTTCTGACAGAGAGACGGCAATTAAACTCATGCAGAAATTAGCAGACCGGGGCATTATTCATCACGGTGAGTGAGGTGGCGACAGTCAAGGTAACTCGAGACGAAACAAAGGACTATATCTTCTGTTTCAGATATGAACCCACCCATTTAAGAAATAGACATTTTACTTTGTCTCTTGTATACCTCTCCCCAATTACATTCCCTTCCTTCTTCGAAGACGCATTTGGCTTTATTTCCTTGGACTTCTTTATATTTTTTCCTTTCTGTAGATACGTCTCTTAGCAATGTAACATATCGTTTTAAATGTTTTAAGTCATCATAGAGAGGCATGTTTATTCTTTTGCAACTTGATCAATTCGCTGTTTGTGGGATTCACTCATGTTGATAGTGTATCTTGTTTGCTCATTTTCGCTGCAGTGTATGCCATCACACCTTTATGCATTCTACTCACAGACATTTAAGTTGTTTCCAAGTTCTTGCTGTTACTCTCAGTGGTTCAGTGAACATTCATGAACGTGTCTCCTTGAAATCTCTAATCCTGGCCAAGACCTTCGCATGCTGTTATTCTCTTGGGCTGGAATGCCCTCCGTCTGCATTTCTGCTTGTTTTCTACTCATTCTTCAGGTCTCCACTTACATTCAGACTCTTCAGAGACGTGTACATTCCCCAAAGCTGGGGTACTGGGTGCTCCTTTGGGCTCCCACTGAATATCTCCTCAGCTCTTTCATAGCCTGATCACGCCATATTTTAATGACATGTCGACGTTTCTTTTAATCTCGCTAGATTTCATATTCTTTGAGGCTGATGCCTACCCCAACATCATGCTCGAGAAGAGTTTGTAGAAAGAGTGATGAATTGAATTTTGTGACTCTTTTAACAGATGACGATGATGGTGATGGTAGCTAATAAAACTGAGCACTTTCCTGTGCCAGGTGCTGTGCTAAACGGTTTACTGTGTATTAACTCATAGAGTTAATAAAACAGATCTTAATTAGCATCCTCCTTCATTTGAGTAATTAAATAAGAGGTGTTTTTTTTTCTTATTTGCCTCTCTGTGTATATTGCCTTTCAGTGTGTGATGAGCATAAGGAATTCAAGGACGTCAAACTCTTCTATCGCTTTAGAAAGGATGATGGCACCTTCCCATTGGACAACGAAGTGAAGGCCTTCGTGAGAGGACAGAGGCTGTATGAGAAGTATGTTCTGTAATCTTGTAGTGAGAAGCAGGGCTATTTCAGTCTTTTATCATTTTGACTTCAGCCTGGCTCTTCCATGTGGAATGGTTACATAACTATTCCTATTTTTTTTTTTTTTTTGTGGTACGCGGGCCTCTCACTGCTGTGGCCTCTCCCGTTGCGGAGCACAGGCTCCGGATGCGCAGGCTCAGCGGCCATGGCTCACGGGCCCAGCCGCTCCGCGGCATGTGGGATCTTCCCGGACCAGGGCACGAACCCGCGTCCCCTGCATCAGCAGGTGGACTCTCCACCACTGCGCCACCAGGGAAGCCCATAGCTGTTCCTTTTAATATGATAAAACTCTATCACTCACTTGCTTTTCTCTTTACCAGAAATTAAGTTGATTTCATAAGATTCTTAATAAAGAATTTATTTAAATAGTATTTTCTACATTTAAGTCGATTTAACAAAACTCCAGAAGTGAAAACAGAAGGTCGGCACTTAATGTTTGACATCAAGTGATGCAGTTGCCAGTTCTCTTAAGTATTTTAAGTATCTTCTAGTGTATAACTTAGAAGTTTAGTCTTTTAAATGGCTAGAGAAGCAGTGTCAAGTACAGGGGAAGTTCATGTTCAGGTCAAGAGACGAATAGTGAGAGAACTTCAGATAGCAGGGTGGTCGAAGAGGAATAATCTCTCAGCTCTTTGTAACAGATGAATATACTGTGGCCCATGAGTATTTGGTTGGTGGACATGGAATCTCCCAGTTGGTTTGTCTCTGAGCTGGTCTGCTGTTTCCGTGGTCCCTTTCTCACCCTACCTTCCTTGTTTTTTTCAGGGCAACCATTCGAGAAAGGAGTGCAGGGGCAGTGGCACCCTTTCCTTAACTCTGACTGCCTTTCAAAACATGTATTTATAACATAAAAGAGCCTACTCTATAAGTGGGATGGTGCGTGAGGGAGCTGCACCTGGGTGGTCAGATTAAGTAGCGGATGGTTAAGAGCCAGACAGGGTTTGAGTTCTAGCCCCATTACCTTACCTTTGTAAACCTCAGTGTCCTCTTTTATGACATGGGAGTGGGTGATAACACCTCCCTCCTAGGTGTTGAGTGCTGTCCTGGGAATTAAAAGAATACATTGTGTCAAGTACTTAAATAGTTGGTTCAGTAACTCTGCTATGTTGTCAGACCCCATGGAGGATAGTCATTTCAGATATTAACACGACACTGAGGATGATCCTTGATTCTGTCTGTCCTGTGTTCTACCTCTGTCCCAGTTCTGTTCACTTCGGTTTCTGGAGCTGGCAGTAGCTAACCAATTAATGCCCAATATGTACCAGTTCTCCCAGTTCTCTTATTCCTTGCTTTCTATATCAAAGTACAGAAAATCCTTCATCTCCCTGACTCACATGAATTTGAATAGAAGGGGTCCATCAACACCTCCATTTGTTTGCTTGAGTGTGTATATATGTTTTGTTGCTGCTTTCATTTACTTTCTTAGTTCCTTTTGGAAAATTCTAGCAGATGTTAAGTATTTAGATTTCCCTGATGGTCTTTTCAAACTATAAGAATTTATGTTGTCAAAAACATACATGTCATTTCCATGGAAGGAAGCCAGGGGATTCTGTAATACTCTTCCCTAGCTACAGATTATCTCTTGGGATCTGGGTAACCACTTTATGGGAGCAGGGGTTAGCAATAATTGAAACGTCTGATAGAGAACTATTCTTTTTTTTTTAAAGATTTTTTGATGTGGACCATTTTTAAAGTCTTTATTGAATTTGTTACAATATTGCTTCTGTTTTGGTTTTTGGGCCCCGGGGCAGGTGGGATCTTAGCTCCCCGACCAGGGATCGAACCCACACCCCCTTGCATTGCAAGGCGAAGTCTTAACCACTAGACCGCCAGGGAAGTCCCTAGAGAACTGTTCTTACTAATGGGATGGATATGATAAGAAAAGTTGAAAAAAAGTTGTTCATACCCTCTAGAAAATACTTACTCCAGCCCTACCTTCTGTTTCTTCTCCCCTTACATCCTATGTGCCATTCACACTAAACTGTGTCTCTAGACCATCCAAGTCTCCTCTCTGCCTTCAGGGCATTTATTAATTCATTAATTATTCAACAAATATTTATTGAGCCCTCACCACCTGCCAGACACAGTTATAGTTATATACTGGAAATGTGCCCTGGACCAAAGATAGACAAAGCTTCTACCCTCATGGACCTTGCATTCTAGTATGTTTTTGTTGTTTGCTGCGCTGGGTCTTCGTTGCTGTGCGTGGGCTTTCTCTAGTTGCCACGAGCAGGGGCTACTCTTTGTTGTGGCACATGGGCTTCTCTTCACTGTGGCATGCGGGCTTCTCTTCATTGCGGTGGCTTCTCTTGTTGCTGAGCGTGGGCTCTAGGCACCCAGGCTTCAGTAGTTGCAGCATGTGGCCTCCGTGGTTGTGGCACACGGGCTTAGTTGCTCTGCGGCATGTGGGATCTTCCCAGACCAGGGATCGAACCCATGTCCCCTGCATTGGCAGGCGGATTCTTTTTTTTTTTTTTGCGGTACGCGGGCCTCTCACTGCTGTGGCCTCTCCCGCTGCGGAGCACAGGCTCCGGACGCGCAGGCTCAGCGGCCATGGCTCACGGGCCCAGCCGCTCCGCGGCATGTGGTATCCTCCCAGACCAGGGCACGAACCCATGTCCCCTGCATCGACAGGCGGACTCTCAACCACTGCGCCACCAGGGAAGCCCGGCAGGCGGATTCTTAACCACTGTGCCACCAGGGAAGTCCTTGCATTCTAGTTGAAGAGGCAGACATTAAGAGGAATGTAGTTTGGTATGGGAGATTTTCAGTATAGAAGGAGAAATACACTCACTGAGGGTGACGAGGTGTTTTAGACGGGGGGACAGGGAAGACGTCCCTGAAGAGGTGGCATTTGAATAAAGTAAGCCTTGTATGTATCTGGTGGAACAGCATCCAAGGCAGAGGACACAGCAAGGGTAAAAGCTTCGGGTGGGAACATGCTCTACGTAGTTTAGGACAGCAAGGAGGCCAGTGTGTCCAGAGGGCCAGAAGTAAGGGGGAGAGCAGGAGATGAGTTGGGACCAAATTGTGAAGGGCCCTTACCCCCATGATATCGAAAATTTTATTTTAAGTGTGATGGGAGGCCATCAGACAGTAAGGAGTGGTAAAGTGGTGATCTGATGTACATTTTGCATATGCTGTTCCCTCTGTCTAGAAGACTCTTCCTGCCACACTCAGCCCTTTCTCTAGCTCGCTCTGACTCTTCCTGGCTTCGTGTTCAATCTCACCTTTTCTGAGAATCCTTCAGCGTCCCCTTAAGACTGAGTTAGGTGCTGCTACTGTGTGTTTACCCCGTGAAAGAACTGTGTTAAACTTTCATCTCGTTTTGTTTACGGCATTAGACTAAGAAACTTAAGGGGAGGGACTGCTTTATCCTCCTTTGTATTTCTTATGGTTTCACATGTTCCCGGCCAATCGTAGATGGTAAATATTTGCTGAAAAGGATGACGAAACTTTCTGATCCCTGGACGAGTTGATCAATATTGCTGTACTTTTTCTGTGTGCAGTTGGCTTTCTAGTCATTAATGTTCAGTGTCTCAATTCCAAGTAAATGTATTTCTTCAAACTGCTTGTAAAATTAGCACTAGGAGAAGTAATTTCGTAAGTACTGACCTTGCGTGACCTAACTGCCACCTCACAAATCTTGGCCCCTACCTTTGGTTGCTAGAACATGCGTGGAACAAACTTCAGGGCCTTTGGAATTGATAGTTCAGTTTACCTGTTTGATCAATTTTGTTTGGTATATACACTTATCTATGTTTTTAATGCATTTTCCTTGTTTCTCTGGCCATTTTTTCCATGAATCTCAGCATGTACTATTATTTCATAAGTCTTGGATACTTAAAAGAAATAACATTAAGAAATGAATAGCTGATTTTGTTCATAGCTCATCTTTTCAAGGACTTTATTTTATAACTGACTTTTTTCCCCTCTATTATTTTAGCTGGAACCCTTGTTTAGGATATTTCTAATATTAGTGAAAGAAAGTCTTACAAAAGATATATTATTCCTTTAGTTGTTTTCCTTTTAAGATAATAACAATAGATAATATTTGTTGATTGCTAGCTATATATCAGACATCCTGACTAATCTATTTTATTTAATCATCATAACAACCCCTAGATAGATGCTTTCATTGTTCCCATTTTATGGATGAGAAAAAAGTTGCAAGGAGAGGTTCAATGTCTTACCCAAGGTCACCTCATTCGTTTAAAAAAAAAAAAAAAACAGCTGGGATTTGAACCTAGAGCCCAAACTTATTGTTACTAGGCTATTAATACATCTCTTCTGTTGCCTTCAATGGAGATTAAATGAATGAAACCAGTGTTTACTTCAAAAATGTAACATGGAGTTTGTGAATATCTGGGTATGAGATTTGCTATGAAAATTTACTGAAAATATTCCAGGATTATAAAGTAGACTTTGGAAAAGGGGAGTAAAATGATTCTCCTTCATAGTAAATCTATGTGGTGTTCTGTAAATATGATAAAAAAACAACAGGGACTTTTATTTGTACATTAAGCTTCTCAAAGCACTGCCATTAGATTATTTTATCTGAACCTCCTGAACAGAGTAATAATAGAGTAGTAAATAATAACAGTAATGATAATAGTGATAACGTAGTAAATAATTATATAATATAGATGGGGCATTACGTTATTGTCCCAGAAGGAGGGGAATCTGGGATCCAGAGCAGTTAAGTCACTTCTGCGTCCTGGTGCTACAGCTTGAGGGGGACAGGAGATGCCTGAACCCAGGGTGACAGGTGTGCAGGCTGTGCTTTCCCCAGCCTCCCATCCAGCCCTAAGGGCCTGGTTCTGTTGTCAGTATTTCCTTTTTGCTCTCCTCTGGCTTGTTTGTTCTGTGTTATTTATAGGCCTTTGTGAAACTTGGTGGTTTCTGGCTGGGGTTTTGCTGAGACGTACTAATTTGGGGGCACCTTGGCT